GAATAAATTTATCTCCATTTATTTATTATTCAATTAATTTTATGTTATGTTTTAAGACCTAATGCAAAGAATATATGAATATGCAGATTTATTTTGCTGAGAGTTGGGCACCCAACTGGAATGGAAGAGCAACTACACATGCTGTACCTTTAGATGTTTTTTGTTGTTTCGAATCACTGCCTGGCTTCACCTTGGGTTCTGACTGATAATTTTCTGTGACGTATGCCACGTCTACGACAACTACTTCTTGTCCATCTTCTTGATCCTGATCATCAGACTCCCTTACTGCAAAATTCTTTGAGGTTGAAGGCTTGTCAAAGTCGCAAACTATTAGAAAATACATAAAGTAAAATATTTGCTTCAACAAAATATAATAGTATAATTGCCATTACATTTGCTATCTTCAGGTTTTGTTATTATTTTTGTTCTCAAGTACGAAGCTAGTGAGAATTGTCTTCTTAAATCCGTATTGATTATTCGTACGGGCCTCTGTGTTCTAACCGCTATGAGGCTCAGCGAGATGACAAGAGATTAATAATAATAATAATAGTAATAATAATAATAATAATAATAATAAATGAGGATGATGATGATGAAAATAATAATGGTAATAATAATAATAATAATAATAATAATAATAAAAATAATAATAATAATAGTAATAATAATAATAATAATAATAATAATAATAATAATAATAATAATAATAATAATAATAATAATAATAATAATAATAATATGCCAAATACTGAGTAGAGCGCCAATTCCAAATTAAATGATCAAAGGCGCTGGGCCTTATTACACGTGGAAAGGTTATATATACAAATACATATACATATACATATACAAACACATATATATATACGTGTAAATATATATATATATATGTATATATATATATATATATATATATGGAAAAGTGTATACGTATAATGTATGTATGTGTATATATAATATAAATATATATTAATAATACTATGTATGTATGTGTATATATAATATAAATATATATTAATAATAATATATATATATATATATGTATATAAAAATAGGCATATATTGAATAAATTTATCTTCATTTATTTATTATTCAATTAATTTTATGTTCTAATCATTAGACTTAATACAAAGATTATATGAATATGCTGATTAATTTTGCTAGAGTTGGACACACAACTGAAATGGAAGAGCAACTACACATGCTGTACCTTTAGATGTTTTTTGTTGTTTCGGATCACTGCCTGGCTTCACCTTGGGTTCTGACTGATCATTTGCGGTGACGTATGCCACGTCTACGACAACTACTTCTTGTCCATCTTCTTGATCTTGATCATCAGACTCCCTTACTGCAAAATTCTTTGAGGTTGAAGGCTTGTCAAAGTCGCAAACTATTAGAAAATACATAAAGTAAAATATTTGCTTAAACAAAAAATAATAGTATAATTGCCATTACATTTGTTATGTAGATGTTTTATTATTTTTGTTCGAATATCATCATTATAATTATTTATATCATTTGATTTTAAATTAATTTTATTTAAAACAAACAATGAGACAATTAGGTCGATACGTAGCTTAAAATTAATTTCGCTCCACTATTGTGTTTTTACATCTATATATCGTATGGGCCTCTGTATTCTAAACGGTATAAGGCTCAGCTAGATAGCAAGAGGTTAATAATAATAATAATAATAATAATAATAATAATAATAATTATAATGATGATGATGAAAATAATAATGATAATAATAATAACAATAACAATAACAATAACAATAACAATAATAACAATAAAAAAAAAAATAATAATAATAATAATAATCATAATAATCATAATATGCCAAATACTGACTAGAGCGCCAATTGCAAATTAAATGATCAAAGGCGCTGAGCGTTATTATGGAAGAGCAACTACACATGCTGTACCTTTAAATGTTTTTTGTTGTTTCGAATCACTGCCTGGCTTCACCTTGGGTTCTAACTGATCATTTTCGGTGACGTATGCCACGTCTACGACAACTACTTCCTGTCCATCTTCTCGATCCTGATCATCAGACTCCCTTACTGCAAAATTCTTTGAGGTTGAAGGCTTGTCAAAGTCGCAAACTATTAGAAAATACATAAAGTAAAATATTTGATTCAACAGAAAATAATAGTATAATTGCCATTACATTTGCTATCTTCAGGTTTTGTTATTATTTTTGTTCTCAAGTACGAAGCTAGTGAGAATTGTCTTCTTAAATCCATATTGATTATTCGTACGGGCCTCTGTGTTCTAACCGCTATGAGGCTCAGCGAGATGACAAGAGATTAATAATAATAATAATAGTAATAATAATAATAATAATAATAAATGAGGATGATGATGATGAAAATAATAATGATAATAATAATAATAATAATAATAAAAATAATAATAATAATAGTAATAAT